GACGTATAGAGCTCGGAAATCGATGTCCGACGCCATTTTGAAATCCAAGATGGCGGCTTCTGGTTACCCTAAATCTGGAAAACATTATCAAATACCCTTCAATATGGGTATTTTCAGAATCGTGGTTACGTCTCGAATCCGGAAATCGATGTCCGACGCCATTTTGAAATCCAATATGGCGGCTTCTGGTTATCCTCAAATCTGGAAAACATTATCAAATACCCTTCAATATGGGTATTTTTGGAATCGTGGTGACGTATAGAGATCGGAAATCGATGTCCGACGCCATTTTGAAATCCAAGATGGCGGTTCTGGTTATCCTAAAATCTGGAAAACATTATCAAATACCCTTCAATATGGGTATTTTCAGAATCGTGGTTACGTCTCGAACCCGGAAATCGATGTCCGACACCATTTTGAAATCCAAGATGGCGGCTTCTGGTTATAATAAAATCTGGGAAACATTATCAAATACTCTTCAATATGGGTATTTTTGGAATCGTGGTGACGTATAGAGACCGGATATCGATGTCCGACGCCATTTTGTAATCCAAGATGGTGGCTTCTGGTTATCCTAAAATCTGGGAAACATTATCAAATACCCTTCGCACACGTGTTTATTTCAGTTACCATGGGGACGTAATTTGTGATTAGCCCCGGTCCCTTTCAAATTGTATCATTATTTATGTACGACCTAAAATTTGAAATGACGTTTCACATTCATCTAGTGATGGCCGATTTTCATTCGAATAATCGATTAATCGATTAACGAACAGAAAATTAAAATATTTGTAATCGGTTATATCTTGCTGATATAAGCATTAACCAATCAATTAGGATCATTACCCATCGTTTCAAACATATGCTGCACTCTCATTGGTGGAAAAATGACAGCACAGCGAACAAAAAATAATCGATTAGATGTTGATCGAATAATTTAAAAAAATGGGACATCTCTGATTTTGGTGTGATTGTTTTGATAAAAAAGAGCGCAAAATTTCATCTCTAATTTTTATAGCAAGTGAGTGGAAGCAACCCTGGTGACAAGTGGTCACTTCACTTCGTTAAGGGCCCCCCTCAAAATTTATCTTTGATTGATCATCATTTAAGGGATTTTCAGCTGTATTATCATTTAGCGATCGTTAGGTGTAGTTTCAGGGTTGTAGTCGTGTAGTCAAGTTTGCCGTAGGGACGCTCCGAATTCCTTAGAAATTCTTATCCATGTGCATTAGATTTCTCTGCAATTATAATCATAACTCCCCATAATAGTCTCTTCAGAACTACCTAACACCAGGGTTGCTTCCACTCACTTGCTATAAAAAAATATTTTTCGGAATTATGCAATCATTAATAATGATATGTTGTACTTGTAAGTAACAAGAAGAGGGTGTAAAGTATGTGTTTGACTGATAAAACCTGTCAATTCTGCTTTCAGAGCGTCACAATCAGCGATTTTATGATTCGTGAGCGTTCACTCAGAGTGAGCGCTCACGAGTCGTAATATCGCTGATTGTGACGCACTGAAAGCAATATTGACAGATTTTATGTGTCAAACATATACTTCATGATCTCTTCTTGTAACTTACAAGCACTAATTAGTATTATACTATTTCATGATTTCATAATTCCGAAAAACATTTTTTATGGCAGTGAGTGGAAGTAACCCTGCCTTACACTAACATTTACTTCTCCTTACAATTTTCATGAGATTTGCCTAAAAATTATCGGAAATTTCTAGTTAAATTCTACCGGAATTCTACCCAGAATTCTACTTTAGAATCATTCCTAGATTTCCTTTATAACTATCATCAAAACTCATTTGGAATCCTCTTGATAATTCTCTAGCTAATGCTGCATAGTGTCTAAATTCTAAAATTATACAACTCCAAGAGTCATGATGTTTTAAATCTGAGGTCTTAAAAAATTCGTAAAAGGAGAAAAGACTCTAAGATTGGGCCCATCGGTAAAAATCTGCTATTTATCAATTTTATCTAGATGAAGGCGTCATTGAGACGTCTAGTCGCTGGTCGCTATTGAAAATTTAGTCGATTGCTGAACTTATGTATGGGCTCAAATTAGAGGCGTTTAGGCCGATATTACATCCATTTCCCTTACCTATTTAAAGTAACAAATCTCCCAAAGTACAATAATGTGAAAAACTAACCTAGCCTCATAATCTTAATAACTTTGTCGTGCAATATTTGCACAACATTTCAGTCCGAGTATTCAAATGTTTATAGTTTGTTCTCTTAACAAAAAATGTCAAGCTCAATCTATAAATTGGGCCTAGTGTCCTTCCAACTTGTAACTTACCGACATTTAAAAATCCTGATACTTTTAAGAATATTTCATATTTCGGACTTCATAAAATTATCTACATGATTTGATAATTGTTTGCGATCTTAACATAAAAAATTTAAAAAAATCAGAAAATTAATGTTGCGTTTTGTAGGAGGGGGTTTTCTCCAGTTTTCTACATTTAAAATAAAAAGCCCTAACTTTTTTTTCAGTTATATCAATTGCTGCAATACCATATTTAGCTATTTATATATGGCTGAAAATCTCCTTAATAAAGACAACCAACCAACCAACCAACCAACCAACCAGCTATTTATATGAAACGGTTATTTTTTTGTGAAATAAGGAGCTTGGTGGCCTTATGACGACCAGTTTTGCTTACTAATCAGAAAATCATAGGCTCAATCCCGAGCTCCTTCACATTACAGAGTTATAAATTAAATCGGCTTGCTTGCATAATATGAAAAAAGCAGCGTAATGATATGCTGTTGGTGGGACGGCTACGTACAATAAGTAATATTTGAGTTTCAGGAAAGACGTGCTGATCAGAAATCCATATCAAATCTTTCTCCAGAGCAGTTATTGTCTTGGTCGGTGAGGTCACCGCCGGGACCAAAATCTAGTTACAGGAAGTTGTTTTGTAATAGAAGGAGCTCGGCGGCCCTGTGGCGACCGATTTTGCTAACTGAGTAGATCATTTTGGGTGCTTCCTCACATTATAGAGTAATAGTGTAAATAATTATTTTTTAATGTTAGATATAACGTACACAGCAAAAAATAAATTTTAATATTACACTTCAATCATGTTGAAAATCTCATGTAATTTTTATGGCCACAAAAATAAACAATGTCAGTTTATGCACTGTATTCATGGTAATGTTGTCCTTCTTGGCAAATTATATTACACCATATTTTTGACACGATTGAAGTGCATCCACTTTGATGTGATATCAAAATTAATTTTTTGCTGTGTAATGAAATTCGGTTGAAGGAACGATTACGTAAAAGAAATAATATTCGAGTTTGAGAAAAGACTTGTTGATCGGAAATCCATAACAAATCCGTTTAAATAGTAGTTGTTGTCTTGTCGGTGAGGTCGCTGCCATTACCGAATCCTAGTCCTATCAAAACTTTATCGTTATATTTTCTGATATAAGGAGCTCAGTGGTCTAGTGGCGACCGATTTTGCTTACTGAACAGAAGACCATGGGTTCAAACCTAAGCTCCTTTGCGCTCTTAAATCGTTAGGATATCAATCCAGCATATCGTTTACCAAAACGAATCCTGCTGCAATCCCAACCCTTTTATCCAACATCCCAGTGATTTCTCGTGGAAGTGCAGAGGTGTTTTCGGCTTTCATTAAAGTGAGTATTACGTCAACATATTCCTACCCTTTCCTTTCCTGACCCGCATTCGGCGTTCCTAAGAATGAATTATCTTGGACGTCATTTCGATTGGACAATACGGTTTCAAGTTATGATTTTTGTGTCAAAATGGCCAACTATTAGCTCAAATATGAATAATTGACCATAGCAAACAATTATGCAAAGTTTCCTGCAAATATGGCGTGGAACTGCTCATATATCAAGCTTTAAAATGCATTAGGTCCTAAGTAACATCGATCGATTCTCTTAATCGACTTTCTCTTTCGTTAATAACTAGGGTCCAGAACCGTTTCTTGCACTTGTTCGCTAACTGGGCGTTCGGCTGGCTGTAGCCCAGTTAAAAAGCAGTTATTCGTCAAAAATAGACGTCACATTTAGTTTGACTATTTGTTGTCATCATTGGTGAGGGGCATTCGAAAGGAATGTTAAGTGTTAATATAGATAAATTTGAAATTATTTTCATTTCACACCGAAATCAAGACTTGAAAGCCTTTTTAGCGAAAGCATTAAGCCTTTCTAAACTCACGAGATTGAATCCTGTGAAAATAACAATAACAAACTTCACACTGTTGCAGTTCAATGCACGTGAATTTTTTTCAACGTCGATCAAACAATCCATTGAAGTTCCCCTCAATGTTTTCTGACGTTTGACAAGCCAGCCCATTTAGCGAGTGGAATTCGTTAACTGGGCTGCACTTTTAGCATAGAGGTAACTCTAAGACCAGAAGGGCACGAAGAAAGGTGCTCAACCTTTTGACTCAGCTCTGGTACTCTCTTCGGTACCAAGCAAATCGATGCTCCCCTCGAAACATAGGAAAATCCACGAACCCCTCATTTTATCTGTCAAACTTTCATAGCGAATCAAAACAAACATAGTGCAGTACTAGAATTTTGAATAGAATGGGGTACGTTAATCGATTTACTTGGGACCAATAGGCTAGTCAAGTAGTGAGCCAATTTTAAATCGTTAGTTTCCAACCGGTGCTTTTAGCCCAGTTAGCGAACAAGTACTGTAATAGCTGGATTCATCGATCTGTGTGCTGACATTAACTGGGAATATCTTAACATGATCTTGAGGATGCAAAGAGAAAGTTGACTAAGAGAATCTGCCAATGTTACTTAGGACCTAATGCATTGTTCAGCTTGATATTCACGCAAATATAAGCATGAAAATTTATTTCAAATTTGAGTTAAAACTTAAGCACTGGTGCCGTAACTTGCACACGTACCCTAGAATTCTTCAGCTCGACAGTGTAGACCATTTATATCATCGCGCAATCAATCCCAACCCCAACATGAATGAACTCGAACACTTACCGCAGCAGGATTTGCCAAAGTCCAACCGGACCAGCTGCACCATGTACGGTTCCAGCAGGTTGACGTACCACCACGGGACCCGTTCCGGTTTCGTCAGGGAGCAGGTTTCGGGCGAAAAGAACGCCGACGTCGAACCGTCGATGGCCTTCTGCGGGATGCCGGCCGCATCGGTGGAAATCTGCATCGGGGCCTTTCCGGCGGCCACGTTGAGCACTGGAAAACCGAAGAAGAAAAAAAATAGAAAACGAAAACACATTAAAATTGGTGATAAGTGGGGTGCTGCGGTGCGTGGAATGTGGAAAATCAAACGGAAACTGATTAGATTTCCAGGTTATCTCGATCTGCTGCCCCGCGAGTTGTGCGGGGCGCAGTATTGGGGTGCATTTTGTTTTGATTGCTTCGATCGATCGGCACTGATAGAGAGGTAATTTTGGTTATTAGATTTTTTTTTATTTTATCTCGGTGAGGAGCAAAAAGCAGATGAGCAGTCGGTCGTCGGTCGGTGCCGGTTACTGTTATCTACGTGTGCATCACCGAAAGAAATTGAGAGCTCCGTAGCGGACTTTCTCGAGTGGTGATTATCGTTTCGCGCCTTGGATTTTTCGATGGCACAAGAGAGGGGAAACGGCAATTAATTAGGAAACAGTTAAAAGGCATCAATGAAGAGGTTGGCGCACGTTTTCTGGCTGAGCTGTATGCGATCATTAATCTTCTTATTCATTGAGATAAAACAGGAGTTGTAGGAATCTCTCGCTTTTTTTTTCTCTCCTAGCGAAGGGCGCGTACTGGCGTCAGGCTGGATTAGGTTCGGAACAATACCTGTGCTGATGATGATGGTGATGTTTTACCGTAGCAGTTGGCCGATAAAGGCGAACGGAACGGTATTTGACCTGCGGGAGATTTGCTTAGGCACTTTACTGGGAGCAGGGACTGTGAGGCTTTAAAAGCCAAATGATTTATTATTGATGATGATGGCAGGGGAAAAAAAATAATCTGAAACCGTTAAATTGTTGCGCAGGGAATTTGTCGGAGGAATTCCTCCGCTGAAGCTATGAATGTTGAGTTGGAAGTAGATCACATGAGTTGTAAGTCATTAGGTAGAATTGTTATCTAAATTGATTGAGAAAGAAGGTTAGTGCTGAACTTGCCAAGGCATTCTTCTGCCTCTTCTTTTGCGAATGCGTCCCAACAATTCTTAGCCAGTCGCTATAACCACAAGCCATAAAAGGCTAGGTCCAGAGTTAGTGCTCATGTCCCAACCGTCAGAAGAAAACGGAGCATCACTTAACCTTTCTATCCTAGATGGTTTCAACGACCAACTAATCAAAAACGAGATGACCACGTTTCATCCATTTATTGGATTTTGAAGCATCGTGTTAAAATTTTCGATATTTTCAGAATCATCTTGCCCCTTAATTACCGCACAGCAGGCTTGGCTGTTTTGGTATGTGTGACGCATCAAAAATGACATGAAAATGAAGGAAGTATATCCATCATTTTCCAGGATGCTTTCAAGAGCTGACTGTGTTGTTGTAGATAAGATAAGATTAGATTAGATATATTGTGTGCTAAGTACAGCGTAACTTTGAGCCGCGGGAAGTGGAGAAATTTTACAACCCGGTTATACTTCATTCTACAACCCGGTTATACTTCATTCTACTCCTTTCAACCAGAACAGTTCCTTGACTGACCTCCGCCTCCAGAATGGTTTTCCTTTATAGATGCGCCTTTATCAGCTGAGCTAGGGGAGATCCACTCAAAAGATCCATACCAGTTAAGGGCAGGTGTAACGTTCCAGTAAAATCCATGAAGGTATTCTAGATTTACTGAACTAAATCATCTTGTGGTCACCTTATCTTAAATCACTTTAAAGTCGGTCGAAATGGCTCAATCAATAACTATGGAAGTGCATCTAGAACACTAAGTTGAGAACACGCAATAAGCGATAAGCATTTAGCTTGAAATGCGAAGAAAAAGAAGAAGAGTAGTGAAAATCGCCTAAAACCCCAACATGCACTATTCTGCGCATGATAAAACCAGTTCCATTCGACTTCTGAGATTTTTTTTTCTGTAGAAAGGAATAATTTGATCACGCTTCTCCAGTGAGAACTGGAGTTGTTGAATTTTGACACGTTTTTGCATTTTTATCCCCAGTGTCCAGCGGCGGACTGTGAAATGCTTATCCCCGGAAGCTACACTTTAGATAGCAGCTTCATCACCGTGATAGGAGAATCACGGGGCTTGCAAAATCTTGAAGTTTGACACCCATATTGATATGGTTCCGGTTATGTCCAAAATTAACCACTTCCCCCGGGGCACTCAGAATTTGCTTCAGAGTAATCGTGGCAAGTTGTTTACCTGGTAAAACTGCCTTTTTTGGTTGGTTGTATAATCTTGAAGTTTGACATCCATTTTAACGGGGTCATGTCCCAAATTGACCACTTCTCCCGGGGCATCCAGAACCTGCTACAGAGTAGCCATGGCAAGTTGTTTGCCTGATAAAACTGCCATTGGTGTTGGCTTGTAAAATCTTGAAGTTTGACATCCTTATTGATATGGTTCCGGTCATGTCCCAAATTGGCCATTTCTCCGATGCACTCAGATTCTGCTTCAGAGTAACCAGGGCAAACTATAACCTGAAAAAGCTACCATTGGAATTGGCTTGCAAAACCTTGAAGTTTGACACCCATATTGATATGGTTCCGGTCATGTTCAAAATTGGCCACTTCCCCCGGGTCAGTCAGATTCTACTCCAGAGTAACCGGCGGGGTAAGCTGTTTATATGAAAAATCTACCATTATCATTGACTTGCAAAATCTTGAAGTTTGACACCCATATTGATATGGTTCCGGTTAGGTTCAAAATTGGCCATTTCCGCCGGGGCAATCAGAACCTGCTCCAGAGTAACCGAGGTAAGCTGTGCACATGAAAAATCCACCATTGGAATTGGCTTGCAAAATCTTGAAGTTTGACACCCATATTGATATGGTTCCGATCATGTCCAAAATTGGCCACTTTCCCGGGGCATCCAGAATCTGCTACAGAGTAGCCGTGGCAAGTTGTTCACCTGATAAAACTGCCGTTGGTGTTGACTTGCAAAATCTTGAAGTTTGACACCCATATTGATATGGTTCCGGTAATGTCCCAAATTGACCACTTCCCCCGGGGCATCCAGAGCCTGCTACAGAGTAGCCATGGCAAGTTGTTTGCCTGATAAAAGTGCCATTGGTATTTGCTTGTAAAATCTTGATGTTTGACATCCATATTGATATGGTTCCGGTCATATCCAAAATTGGCCACTTCCCCCGGGTTACTCAGATTCTACTCCAGAGTAACCGGCGGGGTAAGCTGTGTACATGAAAAATCTAACATTGGAATTGGCTTGCAAAATCTTGAAGTTTGACACCCATATTGATATGGTTCCGGTCAGGTTCAAAATTGGCCACTTCCCTCGGGGCAATCAGAACCTGCTCCAGAGTAACCGAGGTAAGCTTTGTACATGAAAAATCTACCATTGGAATTGGCTTGCAAAACCTTGAAATTTGACATCCTTATTAACATGGTTCCGGTCATGTCCCAAACTGACCACTTCCACCGGGGCATCTAGAACTTGCTACAGAGTAGCCATGGCAAGTTAATTGCCTGATAAAACTGCCATTGGTGTTGGCTTATAAAATCTTGAAGTTTGTAACATGGTTCCGGTCAGGTTCAAAATTGGCCACTTCCCTCGGGACAGTAAGAACCTGCTCCAGAGTAACCGAGGTAAGCTGTGTACATGAAAAATCTACCATTGGAATTGGCTTGCAAAACCTTGAAGTTTGACACCCATATTGATATGGTTCCGATCATGTCCAAAATTGGCCGCTTCCCCCGGGACCCCTAAACCTGCTCCAGGATGGCCATTGAAACTTGTGACATGGAAAACGAATCTGGAGACATCGCGCTGAAAGATCTTGCGGATTGACCCTCATATTGACGTGATTCAAAAGATTACCATTACTGGTCACTTTACCGGAATCGATTTCAAGGAAACGGCCAGATCTCGGTTGTTTCTCAACAGATCTTGAATCTGTGGCCAACGTTGAATTCAGAATTGCTTCTAGTACCCGGAAAAAATATGAATTCAAATATATTTTCATACCAGAAAAAAAATACATGCGATGAAAAAATCACTTTTTTATCGAAATTGAAGTTTTATCGAAATTGGTAATTTTGCGAAAAGTTAATGCCATTTGAATTTTGACAATCAGACTCAAATATGAGTTCCAGGTACCAAAATTTACAAAAACCACGGTCACTCATGGGCTGAGTGTAATTTTTTCTCCAATAGAGGTAAATGTCACTCATGTACACAAGAAGTTCGCCAACTGAAACATGTTTCCTTTTCACTTAGCGAACGGCATTTGCTAAATTTCATGTGTCAAACCAGCTGTCAAATACACTTAAAATGCACCCGTGTTCATCCTTGTGTTCATTTGGTTCATCTTGACATTTTGAAATGCACAATCTCGACAGATAAGTGTTCGATAACTGAAACTTTTTTCCAGTTAAAAGCCTTTAAATTAGCGAACTTCTAGCATAGAGGTAACGCTAAGACCAGAAGGTCCCGAAGAAGCGTGCTCAACTTTTTGGCCCGGCTCTGGTACTCTCTTCGGTTCCAAGCTAATCGATGCACCCCTCGAAACATAGGAAAATCCACGAACCCCTCCCCTTTATCTGTCAAACTTTCATAGCAAATCAAAACAAACATTGTGTAGTACTTATAGCGGTGCCGGTGGTGTAGTGATAAGCGTGATTATCTCTCACCCCAGCAGGCCTGGGTTCAATCCCAGTCGGCGCCGCCGGGATGTTCTGAGGCATAACATCTCTGATCACGCCTTCCTTCGGAAGGGAAGTAAAGCCGTTGGTCCCCGGTTCATGAGTTGATGGGTCGATAGGTAGGGTCCAGGTGTGGGAGCTGCCTTCCTGGCGTCGGTAGCATTGGTGCTCAGCTCGGAAAAACAAGATCGACGGAAAACAAATCAAGGAAAAAAATAGTGTAGTACTAGAATTTCAACTAGAATGGGGTAAGTTAATCGATTTGCTTGGGACCAATAGGCTAGTCAACTAGTGAGCCAAGTTCAAATCGATAGTTTCGTATTGATTGTTGGTATCAGTAAATGCCACTCAAATGTGAGTGACTTTTACTTAAGTTTGAGTAAAATTTTACTCAA